AAATAAATACTGTTCTTTTTTTTCTATTCATCAAAGAATCTGAAAGAGAAAAAAAAAATCATGGTTTCCACCAGAAATATTAAACAGCACAACTGTTTTCATCATTAATAATAATCAGAAATGTATCTTGAGCAGTAAATCAGCGTATTAGAATGATTTCTGAAGGATCATGTGACACTGAAGACTGGAGTAATGATTTGCATCACAGGAATAAACTACATTTTAATTGTTCATTTTGTTTTTTCTTTATTATAAGCATAATAATTAAGGTGGAAAGTTATGTAAAAAGTACACACATTACATACTGGCTGTAAATCATGAACCTTTTGGTAAAAAAAAAAAAAAACTGATTATATAATTTTGTTATTTCGTATATGTAAAATATTATTGTATTGATATAGTTTATTTTTAGAAAATATATATACAGTATGGATTTATCTTGTATCAGTATGTAGGTGGCTGTTAAATTCCCAGGTGTCTTGTGCGACACAGAAGCCTTTTGAGGAGGTTTTGGACAGTGAAGGTCAGTAGTAGGTTCCTGGAGAGGCCCGCTCATTCAGTACATGGCTGGAATATCTGGGGGGACAGCGCTTAATTTAGTGCATTTCATGCAAGGCAAATGACCATTCTTCCAGTCATAAGGTAGCGTGTCATTGTTTGCATGCCTGAATAGGGCAAGACTGCTTAGCCAGGTTTCGTGTTTATGTTTATGGCTGCTTGCGTGCCATGCGACTGTTTTATCATTAACCGCCTCTGTTAGCGCAAGGCCATTGGTCCACCTGTTCCGCTCACCTGCTAAACATAGTTCAAGTCAGTAGATCCGTTAAGTTTGTTAATCTGTTTTTTTCTGGCTTTGTTAGGATCTGAAAGCAGCTCATATTTCAGCTTCAGCTGCGTGACTTCAGGAATCTCATACAGTAGCTCATTTGTCAAACTGAAATAGATAACGTCCTCGTGACAGGTTGACATCTATCGCTCTCGCATTAAATACATTGAATTCTCAGTTTGGTCTGGACGGTTCAACAGCATGTGAATCTCACACAAGTTTTTGGTAAAGTTCTGTTGGATACTCTGCTTTGAGTTTCACTGAACAAACTGAAGTTTGTTTGATTTTGTTGCTGCGTTCAAGTTGGATTAGAATTGATGTTACTGTTTGCATAAGTACAAAGGTGCAAGTGATGTTACAATGTGATCTGAAATAGAAAATAAACCCTGTAACTACTTGAAAATTAGAATGGATTGCTATAATGTTTAGTTTTTAATAAATGGAGCTAGGGCTGTCACGGTGAGGGAATTTGCCTTGCGGTAATTTTGAGTGGCTCAATAGTTAGTTAGTTATAACTAACGGTATTATCGCCATATATGCGATAATACCGCCATGTATGCGGTATTATCGCCACTTCTACTTTCCGATTGGTTGCCGCCGAACCGCGTCATAGCTCATTACCATAAAGTTGTCCTGATTTCAACTCTCCTCGACGCCCTCAACGTCCAAGACGCGCGTTAATAAGCAGCAAATCAGGAGTTTGACTGTGCGTTCACACCGCCGCCGTCGAGAGCCGGCTCACATTGAAAATGAATGACTTCCGGCCACTTTGATGCTCTCGACGGCGGCGGTGTGAATGCACGGTGAGGCAGAAGTCGTAGTTAATAGTTAGTTAATAGTGAGAATTGGTCCCCAAACTAAAGTGTGGCCCATTAAAGGAATAGTTACTCGCCATCAGAGTTTGTTTCTTCATCGGAACAGATTTGGAGAAATTTAGCATTACATCACTTGCTCACCAATGGATCCTCTGCAGTGAATGGGTGCCGTCAGAATGAGAGTCCAAACAGCTGATAAAAACATCATTTTCATTTTGGGGTGAACTATTCCTTTAAGGTGCTTGTACTCTTTAAAAAAAATTAATTAAAAAAAAAAAAAAAAAACAGTACAGTGTGTCTTAAGGCCTGTTCACGCCAAGGACGATAACTATAAAGATAACGATAAAGATATAGTTCTAAAAATCGTTCTCAATATTAAAGAATAGCAGAGTCCACACCACAACTATAACGATAAAGACAAAGAGAAACGATATCGTTGGAATCCCTTTCAAAACTATTTTTCTCCAGCTGATGGAACGATAAAAAATTGACAGCCAATCAGAATCCATCCTGCTGTAACGAGCTCAAGAATTTAAAGCGGCAGACGTGCGTACGCTTAGAATAAACAGACGATATCGTTCGCTGGTGTGGACGCTAATATCGTTATCTTTATAGTTATCTTTATAGTTATCGTTCTTGGTGTGAACGGGGCTTTAGCTCTCTGAATGTGGTCCGCAATGTATGAATTAACATTTACAGTGACAGCAAAGCATCTCACTTGCATTCAGAAATGGACGCTAATATCGTTATCTTTATAGTTATCTATATAGTTATCGTTCTTGGTGTGAACGGGGCTTTAGCTCTCTGAATGTGGTCCGCAATGTATGAATTAACATTTACAGTGACAGCAAAGCATCTCACTTGCATTCAGAAATCGACCCAACTTATTTCAACTCATCTCCTTTGAGCATTTCTTCACCTTAGCTGAAAGGACGACACGGACCAGCAGTGAACAACTGAAGTTACTGTCATGGCAACCAAATACATCGCAAGCTGATTTCCTAAAATCCATTCTAGAATGAAAGTATCCGCAAATCAACTTCCAGTGGCAAGGAAACACCTCCTCTCCTCCATATCACCCTACGCTCTTAGAAAAAAAAGGTACGAAGCTGTCACTAGAGTGGTACTCTAAGAGGTACAAAAGCTAAAATGTACATCTTTGTACTTTCTTTACCCCAAATGCTACATATAAGTACCTTAAAGGAACATATTAGTACCTAAAGTTTACATACATTATAAGTAACTTTTGAAAGTGTACCACCACAGTAACAGTGTGTATTGAGAACCACGAATGATGGACGGTAGCTGCTGTAGAATTGGAATTGAGGATTTTCGTTTAGTTTAATTTAACCACTGAAACCCAACATCCGGTAAAACGAGTAAGAAAATTAAACTTTTCACCATTTGACACACAAACTTTCACCATGTTTAGCAGTCTTGAGGTGACGGGTTACATGGAATCTTTGGTGTGACAAAAGCTCTGACAATAGCTATTCTACGGGTCACTACCTGTTTTCCATTGTTGGTGGTGGTTTGGTCTTGTAGGGTTAAATAAGAACCTGTAGACATCCGTGTCTGCTACAAAGGGTTCAGAGGGTTCACTAGACAGCTTCATGCCCTGAGTGAGCGCTGGATCTCCATTGTTTAATGTCCTGCAGTATCCTCTGGCTCTGTGCACTAACAATGAAGTAGACTGTCTGTACTTCAGACCTGAACATGTTCATCCAGAGAGTTTTACTTCTAGTCTAAAGGAGTGAATGAAGCACGCACAACATTTACTTTGAGTGCGAAGAGAAATTATTGAATTTATGAGGTTGTGTATGACACTCTTGTGCTAGCAGCATCTTTGTATTACAGATGTTGAGTGGTGCATCATGAGCACTTATTGAAAAAAAAACAGCGACTATAATGCACCTTGATTTATTATTTATAGCATTCATAAGACAATGATTAATCAAGATTAAGCTGATCCTAGTTATTAGCGGCATCCAATCGTCACATAGAGGCTAGGTAGTGGGCTCGTGACTCGTTCGCACTTGGTCATTATCTCATCAAAGGAAGACTGACGATCTTAACTTGCTTTTTAATTTTATTAAAGCATATGAAACATTAGACCAGTGCAATACGGGCAACAGAAAGTTGGCTCCCGCTCCTCGCCCCTTCCAACCTAACAAACAATCCGACAAAGGAAATAATAAAGAAAACGGAAGTGATCACCTGTGCCCACGTGACCATGAATAACCAATAAGAAATAACAAACAATTAATGCTCTTACACTAGTTGTTATGGTGGGGGTTTTTTAGCGTCTTAACCTCACAAAAATGGTCAAGAATGACTTGATTGGCTTTCTGTATTGTGAAATGTTTCACTGAGTCTATATATAACAAACTAAACATTCGTCATTATCAAGTGACAACATAGATGGATAGATCTGAACATCTGTAATCAGAGAATTGTCAAGAGTTTCCAACTATCAACAAGATAAATAGGAACTAAATTCTAGTTCCAGTAAATAATCTATTTTTGTGGAACAGGTGTGTTCTAATGTGGGACAACATTTTAGTTTATTAAATCCAGGATGTAGCTATAAGTGATCATTCCCATAAGCACTTGAACCAGCCAGGAATGTCTCACTTGAGATCTGGCATTGACCCGTCCGCTACTGACAGCTTGGGCTGACTAGAATAAATGAAGCAATACAATGTTATAATGCGTCATTATTACTGATTTATTCAGTTTAACATAGGTTTGGCCTGTAGGTTTATTAACCAGTAATCCAGCAAACTGATTCTACTGTTATGTTGATCAAGAGACATATTTGTTTTGTTTTAAGGCAAAATGTATCATTGAAAGGATGTCTGTGTGTGTTTGTGTGTGTGTGTTTGGATTCATTCGCACCTGCCGGACACTGGCTCAGTTTTTGGGCCTGATGTCTGAATCTGCAAGAGTGACTTGAGTTGAATAAGAAAGACTGTCAAGTGCACAAAGGGACTGTTATTCTCTGAAACCTCATGAGTAATGAGAAATGGCTTCAGCATGCCTGTGTTTGTATACAGCATGAGAAAATATCAAGGTGAGTGTCAAAAAGCACGTCAAGGTCAGCTTATAAGACAAACTGAAGAAACCGTTAGTTATTATGGGTGAATGTCAAATTTTAGGAGGGAACATGAGAGTAAATGGCGTACCTGTATTTTGGTCTTTAAAAGCTTTTATTTGGCTTTTTGTCCTTTATTTTATTTTATGTCTGTGGAAGTATTTGCATATTGCACAATACATTTTCAGTATTTTCTTAGATTTTATCACACAACAAGTAAGTGGTGTTAATTCATCCAATATTTCCATGTTGTTGCGTGTTGTAGGTGCAGCTCAGAGCGGCGTAAGGAGAAATCTCGAGACTCGGCGCGCTGCAGGCGCAGTAAGGAGACAGAGGTGTTTTATGAGCTGGCCCGCCAGCTTCCTCTCCCACACAGCGTCAGCTCACATCTGGATAAAGCCTCCATCATGAGACTGGCCATCAGCTACCTGCAGACACGCAAACTCCTCACCTCAGGTACAAGCATCCAAATCCACATGTGGAGCTGGACTGGATTAAAAAAAAAAACGCACACACACAAACATATTATATTATTAAATCTAAAATATATGTAAAAGTTTGGACATCACAGCATTGATTTGATATTGACAGAAGCTATTGATTTTAGTTTTAATGCACTCTAATTTTTTTTTTACAAAATATTATAGATTTTTAATAAATCTACCATTAAAGCTACCATTTATCAGCCAAAATGTGGATATAATGATCATTTTATTTGCATTAGCCATAATTTTTATATTCGTTCACATTCTTTTCCTTCACTATGTTGTTCAACTCAAGCAATGAATTAATCAATCAATTTATTTATTATTATTATTATTATTATTATTATTATCATTGGACTTTACAGAATTGATTTGGCTATCTGGCATTGAAAAAAACTCTATTGATTTTAGTTTGAATGCGCATTACATTTTAAGATGTTTAATATCTGCCATTTATGTTAGCAGCCAAAGAATAAAAATGATCGTTTTATCCGTTTCATTTTAATATTTGTGCATCACTAGTACTGAAAATGTTCTGAAAATGCTTTTCATTTACTGTATGTTACAAATGAACCAAATTAATAATAATAATAATGATAATTATTATTATTATTTATTTTTGTAAAATTGCATACACACAATTTTATATGCATACATATTTAAAGGTAATTTCTAGCTTTTAAATAAAAAATGAAGAGTAGTATATTAAGAACATTTAATTGATAACATTATAATTTAGGATAAATATTATGTTGTTTTGCTTTTTTAAAATCAGTAAAGTCATATTTTCAGATCTGGTGGAAAACCAAACACAATCCTATTACTACAATGATTGGTGCTGATCATTCTGCTGTTTTTATAGAGTAATATTTGCAATTTGATAAAGGTTATCACATGAGTGACTCCTCTTTTAATACAACATCCCAGACCATGCGACTCTACTTGACGTCACGTCAAAGAAAGAGCTGTGCTGCAAATACACACGCAGTCTGATAATCAAATTCTAAAGCTCTAGTTTGATCTCTTATCTGGGTTCACCATCATTAGCACTGCACTGTTATGAGGAAATGTTTTAGTCGTGATGTCAGACTGCATTAAAGTTACTGCTGTATTATACAAATGAGGAGGCGCTTTCTGTAAGGACATAATTGCATTAGTGAATATTGGGCCTGCTGTAACGGTGTCTGAGTTAATTATGTTTTGCTGTAGGTGCTAATCTAATAAATCAATACAGCATGTGATGAATAAAACAATTTAATGAAAACCTACAGATTATGTTTATTAATGGATACGGCAAGCTTCAAGAGATATGAATGTGTGTGAGCGTTAAAGGGATAGTCATCATTTCCTTCCCTCATGTCGTTCTGAACAAGTATCGCTTTCTTTCTTCCATGGAACGCAAAAGGAGAAGTAATAATGTTTTCTCCTGGATTGTGATTCAGACTGTCAAGCTGTAAAAAGCATATAAAAGCACCATAAAATTATCATTAAAAAGTCTATAAAACTTGTGCGCCATTGTTATTTTAGTATCATTGATATACTAGTTTTTGTTAATATTTTGAATTAGATTTTATTTTTACATTTTCTGTTTTTACTTTAATTTTAGTCAGTATAAGTAATTTTATTTTGAGTGTTTTTTATTTTTAATTTTTATTTATTAGTTTTAGTTTTAGTTATTTTAGCACTTCAGGTTAAACGAAAATGTAACATTTATTTTATTTCAAGTAATGATATATAACTAAAACCAAAACCATTATGTACAGTATATATATATATATATATTTGGTTTTGGTTTTATGTTTTAGTTAATAAAAATAACCCTGTTGTGCGCCATGTTTGCCAAACTATATAGTAGAAACAGACTGAAATTTAATTCTGAAAATATTTCCCTCCACCATAGCATTCAAATTTCATGAAAACATTATGCAAAATATCTTCTTTTGTGAAAATCATAGTGGTTTTGGATGACATGAGGGTGAGTATATGATGCCCGAATGCTCCGCTCCAGATCTTGTGAAAGTATCGTTGACCAGAGCAGAGGATTTCTTTGGCGAGAGGATGTGAGCGCGTTCGTATTGTTTGTGTGTCTTTATTATAAAATTAGAATCTCCGGAAGCTGGACAAAAGAGCTCCTGCATTCGACATTCCATTCTGTGTTTGCGCAGACACTAAAGAGCACAGGGAACACAATTAGTACGCAGTTAGAACGCAGAATTGCCTCCGTTCGTTCAGTTTGGAGCAACTGAAAGACTTTGCACCGTTGAACTTGAAGTGACTTGACAGTAAAATGTTCATGTTCACGCTACATGAAGAAATGGAAAGAGGGAGGGAGGGGAAAGAGACATTGAAAAGCAGCCCTGTCAGTACGAGATGGCACATCAGATAGTGTTATCAGCAGGTCTGTGAGCTCTGTGCTGGAAGCATGATTGGTGATTTCTTTAAGGCGCTCTCCGTCTCAGGCCAGCCAAAACACAGGCCAACCCTGGCGCCACACATCCATCCATCCCCTCCTCCTCCTGCCATCACCCTACCCATGCTGAGGGTGCATGGGAAACACCTTTTACATAAGATCCCCAGTCCCTATGCACTGATGCTTAGAACTGATTCGCTCTCCCAGTGAATCGCTCTTTTCGTCTATGGGCGGCTCGAACAAATATGTTATGAAATAATCTTTGATGAGATGTAATCTTGTTGAAATCAATGACTCACCACTGCAATTATGATTCTTTACAGACTCATGCGAATTGGCCAAAACAAAACATGATCGTTTCATGTCGTTTTGGATTGCATGTCATTTTTAGGCTGAAATCTATATGCGGAGGTGGTTATTGGCGTATTTATCTGTAAGCTTCAAGATACCGCTTCCTCCAGTTCATTCTGTTCAAAGTTCAGAGGTCTCTAGATGTATGTCAAAAACGGTTTCTAAAGGGTTTTTGTTTTGTTGGTTTTTTGTGTGTGTTTTATTTGGGTTGTTTTATTTTGGCGGGTTTGGGTCCTTTTTTGTGTGTTTATGTATTTCCTTGGGTTGTGTTTTTTTTGTTTGTTTTGTTTTTTATGTATTTGTATTTTATGTTTGGGTCATTTGTGTTGTGTTGTGTTTTTTTGTTTTGCTTTTGTGTTTTTATGCATTTTGTTTTGTGTTGTTATTTGGTGTTTTGTTTTTGTGTCTTTTATGTTTTGTGGGGTTTTTTGTTTGTTTTGTGTTTTTTTATGCGTTTTATTTTGGGTCGTGCTTTTAGCTTTTGTTTTTGAGCTTTTTTTCTGTTGTATTGTATTTTTTTGTTTGTTTGTCTTTGTTTTCATGCTTTGTTTCATGTTTTTTTTTATGCTTTACATTATTAGTAACACCCATTAAGCTTTAGCACATATTATGTAAAGCAAAACATCCCGTAATCTTGATGGGCAAAAATTTTGCCAGATGTTCTGCAATGCCTTGAGATATCAGTATCAATATCAATATTTCTACAGCTCAGGTGATCATATGACCTTGTAGGTACATGTCTATCAGCAACAGATGAATTCAGATTCTCAGTAGACTTCTTTCCAGATGATCAATTTCTGAAACCCCAATTTTGGGTGCAGTTTTGTTTCATGGAATAAAAGCCGCAGGGCAAGAACCCCTTCAAAGACGTAACTCTAATTCTCCTGGGGCCGCAGTCTCTAGGCTCGGCCCAAATCCAGCCCTGGACTCTCAATGGGCCTTGAGAAAGTTTCTTATCTGGAGGAAGCACACTGGAGCAATCGCAGGCTTCCGACCCCCCAGCGTGGAGCCACTCTGTTCTGCATGTCCTTGTCCACTCCACCTCCCGCCTGAAGCTCTGCCAGATCTACTACAGGACTCGAAGTCTGGCACCCCATCCATATTTCAGTGGTGGTATCACCAACCATGTGGGGATTTAGTTTTTTTCAAATGATCACTTGACTTAATCAACTATCTGTTTTATTGTGCAATCAGTTATATATTATCATGTATAATATATACAGCAGGGTCTACTAGTTAGCAATGCAGTTCTTTCTTTGACTTTATTCTTACATATTTCTTGCTTATTTTCGTCATATATTTTTATTTGTTTTAAATTAAGATTTTACACTTAGGTTTCAAAAAATATTTTCAAGTTGTAAAATAATATAAATGTATTTATTTTACAACTTGGAAAAATGTTTTGAAACCTAAGTGTGTGTGTGTGTGTGTGTGTGTGTATATATATATATATGTTTGCTTTTTTTTTCTCAATGTGGTCTCAATCTTTTGGACCCCACTATATTATTTAATGCTTTTATTTAATGCTTTAAAAATCAAACACGCATGCACTAGAGAGTGTGCTACGTTTGTACTGTATCTTTACATTGCCTTACATAAGTTTATGTATTTTTCCAAAAGAGCGTATAGCATGACCTCAAATATTGGCCCCTTCCCATGCGATTCTCACAGATGAGGGTTTTTCACATAACAGCTGGAGCTTGTCTCTTTAAATTGAAAGACTGCACAGATTTAGTGCCGTCAAACAGCAGGGCATTGTGGGTGTCTGTGTGTCACTATATGTGGGTATTTGGTTGGTGTATGTGTGTTAGAAATCATTAACAACGGTCCCTCTAGATTCTCTTTGCCACCTCAGATATTCTCAATCCCTCAAAGTGGATATAACGGCCGGGAAGTAAGAAAGTGTGTGTGTGGAGCTAAGGGCTGTGACAGAAGGGAGGTCAGTGTTGTTGGGAGGGTTCAGAGTAGCAGGATGAAGTTGCTGTTGTTTATTTTGGACGTCAGCCAGGAACTGAAGAGTCAGAACAAGACACACACACATGCATTCTCAAACTCTCATGTTTGTGCCCCGTTTCAGCCTGTGCTACTGCCACAGAGATGACAGATGTAGACAGACTGATGGACAGTTGGTATCTGAAGTCACTTGGCGGCTTCATTAGCGTGGTAACATCAGATGGAGACATGATCTTCTTGTCCGAGAACATCAACAAATTCATGGGTCTCACACAGGTGAGTAAGAACACAGGCCCAGTAAGGTACACAGTGAAATGAATGACTATCCAGACAGATACTCACCTTTAGTCCTGTTATTATTAGCTGTTTGTCTGTTTAGCATTCATTTCCTCTGGGTTCACTTAAACATAGGCAGACGAGATGCCATTATTAACCACAGCACAAGCCCGTTTCCTTCAAGCACTGTATGGGAGGAAGGATGTGTCACTTTTTTCGTACCCTTGCGAAGCTCTTGGACTTATCTCGTGCTTGGCAATTGCTTCCTTGCACATGGCTGCTGTTTTGTAGAACCGTGGCCTGTTGGGCTGGGTATCGAGTTCGATACTTTTTAGGCACCGACCGAATTGCCTCGATACCATGGAGTATTGAAAAATGTCTCGTCGTTCGGTACTAAATTTCGATACCTAAGGGGTTAATCTCATCAGTGTCAGTGAGCCAATAAGCCTGCAGCACAAGGCATAAGACAATAAATAACATTTATATTCCGCTTTTACTCAAAACTCAATTTAAACCACCACTGAGTGTTTGTAATAACTTCCGATTGCCGTCTAATGTGTGTTTTGGCTATGTAATGTTGCTGAAATTAAATATGTTATTACCTCTTGACTCTGAGTCAGACAGGCGTTCATGGAAGAGAGAACACAGACAGTTTATTGTGTTGGTTACATTTTGTTCTTTTGTGCAGTGGCTCAGGAGATGAGTCTTTGAGTTTATATAAACATCAACAAGCTGAAAAATAAAACCAACGGTTTTTTTTTTAGATAATGTAATCTTGTTAAAATTGATTTCATAAAATTGGTATCGAAAAAAGTATCGTTCAGGAACCGGTATCGAAGTCAAGGTATCGGTATCGATATCGAAAATTTTTTAACGATACCCAGCCCTAGTGGCCTGTTATCTGTTTGTTATCTAATAAGTTACTATTATGACAAAGATTAAAGATCCATAATCCTTGTGATTCACAAGAACATGCCCAGGTCATATTTCACTACAAAAAAAATGTATATGTACATTTACATAATGCTAAATATTCCAAGTAATGTCAAATAAATAGTGGTATATTATGGAAAAATATTTATACATTATGGTAGCATTTGTTTTCGACAACAAAATTCATTGTATTACAGTATTTTTACTGTTAATTAAAGTGAAACATTTACTGTATTACAGTAATAAAAAATTAACTTTGAAAAAGACAATCACAGGAAGCATTGAGATGTTGAGAATTTTGTGGGAAATGGTCATGAAAATAATCTAAATATCTTAATAATAATGATTCTAATACAGGATTCATCTTCTTTATGCAAAATATAATTCATGTTATATACACTATCATTCAAACATTTGGGGTCGGTAAGATTTTATTTATGTTTCAGACAGACAAGTCTCTTATGTCTCACCAAGGCTGCATTTATTTATTTTATTTTATTTTATTTAAAAAATGTAAAAACCGTAATATTGTGAAATATTATTACAATTTGAAATAACTGATTTCTATTTGAATATACTGTATTTTAAAATTTAAATTATTCCTGGGATTTATTTAGCGTCACATGATCCTTCAGAAGTCATTCTGATTTACTGCTCCAGAAACATTTCATATTATGTTGTTTATGAAGTGCTGTGAAGAAACTGTGATCCTTTTTTTTCTCAAGATTCTTTGGTGAATACAAAGTTGAAATAAGCAGCATTTATTTGCAATAGAAATCTTTTGTAACATTATAAAAGTCTTTGCTGTCACTTTTGATGAATTTTAATGCATCCTTGCTGAATAAAACTTTTAATTTCTTTCAATAAATAAATAAATTCTTACGGATCCCAAACCTTTGTACGGTAGTGTAATATAATGACAGGTTTCATGAGATTCACCTGTGCTGGAAAATAGATGGTTTCACATGTAATGCAATGACAGCACCTGCATGTCTTTCTCTGTAGGTGGAGCTCACAGGGCACAGCATCTTTGAGTTCACTCACCCCTGTGACCATGAGGAGATCTGCGAGAACCTCAGCCTTAAAGCCGGTATGGCACTTCTGTTTATTCCGCTCCACCAGCTGCAAATCCTGCTATATGTAGACAACATGTGTGAGAATTCCAGAGAACAGCCAATCAAATACAAGTACAGAAATATGGAGAGGACTCTGATGCTTTCAAGGGAAAATCTGCATGTTAAAATGTGTTAAATAGCTGAAAACATGATCACACAAACATTAAGTACATGTATGTGAATGGGGTTTCTAGCCTCTTCAGTTTCAATTCAAAAGCTGAAAGCATGTGAAAGCATTTTAACATTCAAAACTGAGTTCAGCATGGGCTCTGAGTGTACTGTAAAATTCATTCCACATGCTTTCTTATGGGATTTTTTTTCTTATGAAGATGAATTGGACTGTAGTGGTTTTAGCCGTAGAGAAAAGAGGAGCTGGAGCCTCTCAAGAAATGTGCTTATTGCTTCTGCAAACAGACTTTCATAAATACCAAAACAGGTATGTAAAGGCCTAATGTAAAGAAAACGCATGGCTTCATAGGAAAGGATTAGTTATGTGAAGAAATAACAATCATGCCCTCAAAAACATGCACCCACAGCCCCTTCCCCTTTTATTCTGCGTCTCCTTTATTTGACCTCCACACTTTCCTACCCCTCTTTGCATGCCTCTTATAACCTCTCACCTCTAAGGTCAAGTTGCATTGTGCTATTTCAGGTGGTTGCCCTCATCACTGTAATAAAACGCTGCAGCGTGTCTGTTGCCCTCCTTGTTTGAGAGGATCAGGTGGTCACCTGTGTCGTGTGTCCAAAGCAAGCCACAAGCTGCATTTTCATTTGATTGCAAGTTAAAAGATTAATTAAATTGTTAATGTCTTTTGCCTTCATTTGATTACCATCATTTTTGATGAATGATTTAATACAAATGAACAAGCCAGAAAAATGAAAGCAGACAACACACAATTTCTGAAAAAAAAAAATCTAATTCAATTGATTAGACATCTTTGATTATCAACATTTAATTAAACCATTAAAACAGAATTTAAAAATAAATAAATAAAAAGCAACAATTTGGGAAAAAAATAAAATGGATTTCAGAGGACCCTATAAATGTAATTTTTGTTTAATAAATTGTGATTAAATTGTATAAGTTTAATGATTTCAGTTATTTAGACAAGCTTTTTGATTACTGAAATTTAAATGAATTTTAGATTTCAGTAATCAAAATTCTGAAATAAAAAAAAATTTAATGGAAAAAATGGAATCATGTCGTTCCAAACCGGAATGACTTACTTTCTTCTTTGGGACACAAACTGTTTTTCTGCTTGGTTTTAGCTTACACATTTATTTTTATAAAATTGATAATATTGAAAGCTGAAAGTGCTGTAAGATGTTTTGGAATTCGATAAACCTAGAAAAAATATTTGTGTTGGCTTCCGTTTGCACGTAAGGAGAATGCAAGGAACGTTTTCCTGGGATTTTTGGCCCATGTCTAAACTGAGACACTCTTTACGTTTGTGTGTGTGTGTTAATTGGCAGGCATGGGAAAGAAAGGCAAGGAACTGAGCACAGAGAGGGATTTCTTCATGAGAATGAAATGCACAGTCACGAATCGCGGGCGCACAGTCAACCTCAAGTCAGCCAGCTGGAAGGTGAATAACTTCTCTTTACGATAAGCGCTGACCTGGAGTCAGATGTCATGTAGCTCATAAAGATGACTCTTGTTCTTTCAGGTTCTGCACTGCACAGGGCACCTGAAGGTGTGTAACGGCTGTCCCGCACGAGTGCTGTGCGGATTTAAAGAGCCACCGCTTACCTGTGTGGTCATGATGTGTGAGCCCATTGGCCATCCATCAAACATTGACACACCGCTCGACAGCAAGACCTTTCTGAGTCGCCACAGCATGGACATGAAGTTTACTTACTGCGATGACAGGTACAAACCCACATTCTTGGAGTAAATGTACAGTATAAGAATTGTGTTGTCAGTTGACACTCATGAATGTTAAAAGTGAACACAAATCCTGTTGACAATTTCTGATACCAGACACTGTCAATAGAGGGTACTCTTAAAAGAAAGAAAGAAATAATTCATTCATTCAACAATTTGCCAATGAAGGGAGGTGCTTAACCTGCTTGTCCAACTTCTAACCAAATACGAGCTTCTTTATTTTCCGTTCGGTTTATGTGAGGTTTGCCATTTTGAAACACTGTATGTTTAATGAATTCAAATCCCTGTTTTGTGTGATTTTTATTTTGTATCAATAAACATTAAATCAATTAAATTATTAAAATTAAACAAAATAGTAATTTATTAGTTTATATACATAAAATGGCAAATAAAATGTCTAAAGTTGTTCTATAAGATTTCCTAGCATAACATATTTAACATTTATCTAAAAAAAATAATTTCATAAATAAATGTAATAAATAAATAAACAAACAAACATGTATATATATATGTAGAGAGAGAGAGAGAGAGTAATTATAAATTAAGCCATTACTCAATAGAATTTTTTTTTGTGTGTGTGTATTTATAATATTTATTGATATTTTGAATTAACCTTTATATTTATATTTTCAGTTTTCATTTAAATTTTGGTGAATTTGTTATGTGATTTTGTCATTTTTTGATACATTTTATTTTTATTTTATATTTATAATTATTTTATTTTATTTTATTTTCATTTTATTTATATATTTTTTTATTTTACTTCACCCTAAATTTATTTTATTTCAATTAGTTGCCAAGGCAACATTTTTGTTTCATTTTTTTAATGTATATTTTATTTTATTTAAACATTATTTCAATAAAAAAAAAAAATAATAATAAAAAACTTTAGTTAACAATAACAACACTGTTAGTAGGAAGAAAATGTCTTTAAAGCAAGCAAGCCAAAATATAAAGGTCAGCAGCAGCAGGGCAAATATGTGAATGGGTGAAATGACTCTTAATTGGGTAAGTCAAATATGGTTGACAGTCCAGACCCAAACAAGCAGTGTGGTAGTGGAAATGTGGGACTCTCAGTGGCATCATTAAACATTATGTCCATCGTTTAAACCGTAATATTTCCTCTTGTCTCCTCTGACAAAGAGCTTGCTGTTCTCAACACGGTTCAAAGTGTTCGCCGTCATGTTTTCAGTGATTAATATCCCCACCCAATAATCACAACGCTAAACCCGCTTCCCTGCTAATGATGTTAGAGATTTTACGGCACAGTGTTTTAACATCCATAAACACCAGAGAAAAAAAAAGATTTAATACATTGGTATCTAGATAAAATATACATTATAATATATTTAATATATATTATTCACATGAAATGTATGATAATTAAAATAAAAGACTTGAGAACCACTTCAAACACTTTTTTTAAGGTAACAAGGTTTTTTAATGTTAAATTAACTGATAATATATAATAAAAAATATTGTGCCATGTCATTGACCTGCACACATGGATAATGGCTGGTTTGTCGGCGAAGGAACTGGAAAAAAGGGAAAAACATTATATTAAAGACCGGATGAGACTTGTTTAATGGATGTAATGATTGCTAAAATGCTTAAATGTTCCGCAGTAGCCTTGGAAAGCGTGCCCTGCTTTCTGCAAGAGCCTAGACTTATGTCACCTTGAGAATAAGAGAAAAATAGAGTCATTTAATTTATTCAAACACCCATCCAGTGGTAATTATGCTCATTATTGTGATGGATCCACCCCAGCCCCTATACTGTGTGTGTGTGTGTGTGTGTGTGCGCGTTTTTGTGACAAATGAGGACATACATTTGTATAATGACAAGGGTATGACATAGGTATTACAAGGAGAAGGTGACTTTTCAGGACATTACCCCATGTCCCCACTTTTCAAAACACATATAAATGAAGGCTCTTTAATGAACAGAGGCCTGCAGACACACACACTCATGCATACAGAGTCAGTGACCTGCAGCTGTCTGCCATTATGTAACTTCAATACAAGGATCAGCTCAATACACTAAACACACACTTTCAGAACTAAATAATACTCATATCACATTCATTACACAAAATCACATAACCGTTACACAAAGTAACCATGGAGAGGGCTTAAACACATTATCACAGTAACTGGAAATGTAATGTAAAAATAAAACAAAAAGGCCTTGTGAGGCCTATTGTTTCTATAAATAGGCAGCAATATAGAAAGACACAATATAGTAAGACGACAAGTTGTTGTTTTTGTTGTTGTTGTTGTTGTTATGATTAATATTATTCTCAGCAATGACATTTGGTGTGGTTTACCAAACTATTTTCTGTCAAAACTATAGAATATATAGAAACTACATTTATTATTAACAAAAAATATATTTATAATAGCCATTAATTGGATATTTATGATAGTTATGATAGCTGTTAGTACAGAGATAATTTTATCTTCAGCAGGTTTAATTTAATATTTAAAATCAAGTCAAATCAGAGTTATTTATATAAACTATATTGTATAAAGCGTTGTTTCAAAGAATTCAATTTCAGCTGTAAAGAACCTCTACAGAACACAATAATGTCATTATCTGGCTCAGTTCAACTCAGATTTTGTTCAGTTTAATTGATAATATTATGGAATATTATATATAAAATTTCCAAAGCCCATTTTTCTTAATATACACTGTAAACAATCAGAAATTGCTAGCAAATTTCACAAATAATTACACAGAAATGGCAAGTAACACATTTCTTCTTTGCTTACTCCACTAATCCTTGTTTTATTTATTACTTTGAAAAATCTTTTTTACGGTGTACCATCATATATTATCCTTTGATGTAAAGAGATATTAAATATACAATATTATATTAATCTATAATGTTGTATTATTTCACATAAATTCTAATTCTTCACCCCAGAAACTGTATGAAACTCCAGTTCTTTATATCAGCCAAACAAATCACATGAAATGGATCATTATTAAATTGGCTAAAAAAATACTAAGCTTGTGCAGATCTGAGTGAGTGAGTGAGTGAGTGAGTGTGTACCTGTTTTTTTATTCTGGTGGGGACTTAAACCTGAATACACACAGACTCATGGGGACTCGTGTCACGGTGGGGACCTAAATTGAGGTCTCCACGGGTAAACAAGCTAATAAATCACACAGAATGTAGTTTTTTGAAAATCTAAAAATGCAGAAAGTTTCCTGTATAGGTGTAGGGTTGGTGTAGGACAATAGAATATACGGTCTGTACAGTAGAAAAACCATTACGCCTATGGAGAGTCCCCATAAGGATCGCAAACCAGACGTGTGAGAGTGAGCGAGTGAGAGCGAGTGAGAGTGAGCGAGAGTGAGCGAGCGAGAGTGAGTGAGTGAGTGAGTGAGTGAGCGAGCGAGCGAGCGAGCGTGTGTGTGTGAGAGAGAGTGTGAGTGTGTTAATTGCCTCTCACTTTTTCCAGAGTTACTGAGTTGATGGGTTACAGTCCTGAAGATCTTCTCGGCCGATCGGCGTATGACTTCTATCATGCTCTGGACTCCGACAACGTCACCAAAAGCCACCAGAACCGTACGTGTCATTGATTTCCACCCTTGTATAAAAGCCTTGTGTAAGAAAACCAGAAACCTTTTCTCTTTTTCACACTTCAAGCATGTGTTATTGGGAAATAATTGACCATATAAAAAAACAAATAAAATCACATCCACATGTATAATCATATGACTGCCACACACAACACACACTCTTAACATCTTGGCTTTTTTTTACCATTGCGTGCGTCGAACGGTGTCGTGTGAGCGAACCGGAGAGGAGGATTAGAGAGTGTGGTTAGAAAGCAGCAGCAGATCAGGTCAGCACAGGTGGCGAGGCCTGCGTTCCCAAGGTTTACTGTTTCAGCCCTTCAACACAGAACAAGTCAGCCTTAAACACACGCTCTGTGTGTAACTGCTATCTGATATCTGCTACTTCACTGCAACTTGTCTACATACACAGATACGCACAGACTCAAATTTGCACTTGCTTTCTTTCTGAATGCATAAAGCTGTTGACCTCTTTTCCCAGTGGTTTCATAATACTCTGAATCCTGTTCATTGTGCTTTGTCTAATTAAACCTTTTGGTAAAAAAAAGCAGTTTATTCAGAATAACACGCGTAAACTGTTCCTTCTACATCACAGATATTACTGAAATAGGTGTCCAGAAGCTCTATTAAAAATAATAATAATAATAACAGAATGGCTAACACTTTATTAGCCAGTCAGAAATTAGTACTTTTTTAATATTTAGTAAATTAGTACTTTTTATTCAGCACGGATGCATTAAATTGATCAATAGTGACAGTAAAGACATTTACAGTATAATGTTAAAAAAGATTTATATTTCAAATATTTGTATCATAGTTGTATCATTTTGTTATCACATATAACAAAAATATTAATCAACTCTTTTCAACATTGATAATAATCAGAAATGTTTCTTGAGCAGCAAATCAGATTTCTGAAGGATCATGTGACACTGAAGACTGGAGTAAGGATGCTGAAAATTCAGCTTTGCATCACAGGAATAAATTACATTTTATTTCATTTATTCCATTTAGTTCATTTAAATTGTAATAATATTTCATAATATTACTGTTTTACTGTATAGTTTAATCAAATAAACACAGCCTTTATGAGCATAAGAGACTTCTTTCAAAGTACTTAGTTCAAGCTTACTGAAACTTTTGAACGATAGTGTATATTGCAGTGAATTATTAATCTAAACATTATTAAATAAATATTCATTATTTAAAAATATATCAACAAATAATGTACAAAGAAAATCTTTTGGATTTGGATTTTTTTTTTATCATATATTTTTTATGTATTAATACTATTCCCACAGTTTAGAATGATAATAAACTTACAGTAAAAAGTATGGGAATTTTTCATCGAAAAAAAAAAAAACTGTTAAACAAATAGTAAACTTATATTTTAACTTGAAAGATATGTTTGCTACCCTGTTTATATTTAAAGCAAACTACAAGCGATATTTTGGATTAAATGATATTAATAATAATATTAAATTATATAATATTTGAAATATTATATTGAATTTATATAACACAGAATGCTTAACATACATAAAGCATATGTACATCAGTCGTAGTTGCTCTCGTCTCGCCTTTTTACCATTGACATGCTGCCGGCACCTACCGGTAATTGCCTTTTAGCTTTTATTTATCTGTCTCTTGCTTGCTAAGCAGAGGTGAAACCTAATATCTGTTGACGTCAACAAACACAGACTCTCCACACACAGCAAACAATTATATATATGTATATACACTGATGTCGCTAGCCCCCCCACCCCATTGAAATAAATTGCATTTCACCTGCATGTTTGAGTTATGAATACGATTCAAAAGAGCCTTATTGGATTGGTTCTATTAAGGATGACCGGAGCAGCCATTAGGACATCTTGACCCCCATTAGGGGTGACAGAGGAGATAAGAACGCAGCTACGGTGCTCCTCCGCTGGGCCAGGTGTCCCAGATTGCTCCCTAATCAGATGCTGGATGTGGAGTGGCTTCTGTCCACTGTGACGTTAACGTGTAATTAGAGTCTTTTTCAAAGTGTGTAGAGGAGGAAGAAAAAAGTGTTGATCTGGATTAGGCTTGTTGAGAGTGGAGCTGCCTCGTGACATTATAGTGCATTTGTGAGTTTGAATGCACCACTTATTTGTCTCTTTCTTTTCTAATCGCTTGAACTTTTCTAAGAGCTTTCATCATTTATCAGACGACCATAAAAAACATTCCCATGTCTCAAAGAGTGTATACATCTCAGAGCGAACATGCATATGCATTCAGAAGCGCACTTTGCATAGGGTGACCGTTTTGGATTTTTTTTTTTTGTTTCCCAGTCCCACTCACTGATAACTTTGTTATGCATTTGTTTTATTACTAAATTTGCACCTCGTTACATCTCTTCTGTAAACTTGGGTTTTTTTTTCGTTTTTTTTTCATTAATTATCACAAAAGCAAAGAAAATCAGTTAAATAAGAACATAAAACAAACAGTTACTAATAGTGAGCGCTTGGACTTTTTTGGCAATATGAACCTGCACTGTTAGCAACATATATCTATTGCTTCATGAATTAAAATAACAAGCATGCCAAGTCAAGTTACCGTTATAGCACTTTATACAATACAGACTGTGTCAAAGCAACTTCACAGACATAAACAGGAAAAATAGCAGAATCAATTATGAAAGCTCAGCTATGGAGACAATTCATATTCTGCTGTAAAGCGGCCCCAACAGACAATAGAGTCATTATTTAGATTAAGTCAGTTCAGGATGTACAGTGCCATTCAAAATAGTCTTAAAGGGATAGTTCAACCAAAAATGAAAATTTTATGTTTATCTGCTTACCCCCAGGGCATCCAAGATGTAGGTGACTTTGTTTCTTCAGTAGAACACAAACGAAGATTTTTAACTCAAACCGTTGCAGTCTGTCAGTCTTATGATGGCAGTCAATCAGCTCCACAGCTTTGAGAGTCAAAAAAACATACACTGATAAAACCAAATTAAACCCTGCGGCTCGTGACGATACACTGGTACCATTGACACTCCTAATTGAGATTGTAGATAGAGTGTCAATGGTCCGTTTGAGAGATAGGTGGCGGTAATGCACTTGTAAGTCTGCGATCCGCCATAAAGCAAGAAGAAGAAGACGCGTCACGCGCCGGCTGTCCAGGACGGACGCGCTCAGGACAGTTCGGACATTG